GTTATGCTTAGAAAACTCCATACAAAACCTTCTAAATTTTTTTTGGGTCGACCCCCCCAAAAATAGAAGGGTTTGTAGGGAGTTTTCTGAGTATAAGCGGCTAACATCTCAGAGACAATTTGCCCCGAAATATTCATTTTTAGCAAGTAGGCCTCTTGGATATTGTTCTTTCAGAATATCCTGACAAATCCCATAATTTCGGAAATTTCATTTTTATGATGTCATCACTTTAGTACTCTATAGGTCTCTGGCGTAAAAACTCTACAAACCTGGTGCTCGCCTCAGAGAAATGGACAGCACAGCCCTTTGATGAGCTGTAATAGATCTTATGCAGTGACCTGTCCAGCTATCCCATATGCGAATGGTACCATCCTCCCCACAACTTACCAATCGATCACCAGAGTACTTAATATCCCACACTGCACCTGCAGTTAGCAAAGATAAAAGGTACTGTTAGATTGGATAAAAAGTACAGGATTGTGTGCAAGTGTCTCGTTCCAGGGGCACACAATGGCTTTTTTCTGTAAAATAACTGTTCGCAGTAGAAAATATTACCTAGGAATTTCTAAACTCAAGAAAGTCTAACAATTTCTGGATAACCATTCCATTCATATGAGACATTCTTTACCTTCTTAATGACTGAATCATCAATCCAGACTGTAGGTAGGATTTTATCAGACAAGGCCACATTTTAGTGACAAGACTTTGGAGAAATCGCAGAATACCCGGCCCACTAAATGTCTTACTTGAAAAACTGCTCCTGTAGTCCTGCAGTCGTGTTCTATTATGCCGAATCGTTCAATCTAAATGAGTAAAACAAGTGCTCCTGCAGTCCCGCACTCCCACAATCGATATCAAGTAACTAGTGTGCTTATGGAATGAGGTATACTAGTGCTCCCGCAGCCTAGCACCCCTGCAGTTGATGTTAGAATTTATTACGGAAATCGGACGACTGCGGGATTGCGGGAGCGGTTTTTTAAGTTAGATACCTAGTGGGCCGGGTATGTTGCAATTTGGCCAAGACATTATCAAAAGACCAAATTATATTTGCAGCTCAGGGGGCTGGTCCCTCCACTCAGGAGAGGGCCACTGACTGACAAGTGCAAGGGTTTCCTGTCCCTAACCAAGTATTATTATTATTTTTTTAATGATGAATTTTTCAACATTTCAAGTACATTTTCCTATGTTCATGTGCTGTCCCACCCACTAAAAATTACCGACGTCTGTCTCGCCAGAAGGTAGGTAAGTAACACTTTACTCACCTCTGTGACAGTTAAACTCACATGCCATACTTGGCCACTTGCCAATATGGCAGCTACGGAACCATTCTCGATAAACCGCCGCCCAATCTACACCGTCAATCAGTGAGGCATGTTTTTTACTTTTATTGGAGGAATCAGGATCTTCGCATCCAAAGATGACTCTTTTTCCAGTTATTTCGATCAAAATATCCCGATCTATGTCTCTTACACAGAGGCATCTCCAAACCAAATTGTACTTTCGTTGGAAGTGCAAAGCACGCCATGATCGACAGACTTCTCGTGATTTAACGAGCGAAATCGAATCTAGATGTTTCAAAATCTCATCTATTAATTCAAGCGGCAGTTGAGAGATATTCATTTGGCCGTCCTTCGACCCTGTTTCCGCGACGCGCGGCTTCCAAAAACCTTCTCACTTTTTACCGCCATGTTGGACGTGAACTATCACTTAACCCTGGGGACGACTTAGTCCCCAGGGCCCTATCGGTCATTATCATAGTCCAACAAACAACTGAGACAACAACAACAACAAAAACAATCAACACAGCTAAAAAAAAGCAGAAAGGTTTCGACAACTGCCCTTGGTAAAGAAAAAAAAAAGAAAAAAAACAGCGACTTTTCCAAACTGGATCGCTTTGAGGACGCAACAGTGTTGAGATCTTAAAACACAAATGCGTAATTC